CCTACGATTTTTGCCAGCAGGAGCTGGGGGAAGAAAAGTAGTATGGGGAGGGTGATTTCAAGCAGACAAATGTTGGGAGGGAAAGGGGCTACAGATCTGTCCCCTGTTGATCTCTGGCATGGGTAAGCCCTCCCTTTCCTGCTTTCAGGAACAAAACAAACCCTTTTGGGAAAGTGAGTGCATCTCTCCCACAGAACCTTTATTCAGGCAAAGCAAAATACGTGGAGATAAAACATCCAAATCCTATACAGGAATAAGGATATCACGCACTTAAAAAAGCATTCTTGGGAAGCATTACAGAAGGTAGGCAGAACAAAATATTAGGTCAGTGTGGCGTAATAGCTGAAAAGAAAAACACAAATGCCACGATGACAATGTATCCATCTGTAAATAACCCAGTTTAGAATACTGAGTGCCATTTTTGTCACTTCATGTTTTTAGAAACAGAGCTGAGGAAGACGTGAAATAACAGCTCCACTTAGCTCACTCTTAACCATCTATTGTGTAAAATAAGTAACAGTGGGAGGTGTGGGTTTTAGTTTTAGTTTTTTCATAGATGAACATTTGTTTAAAATCTGCTACTTGCAGATTTGTTGTAAACTGCATTTTATAGAAAGACTGATCATAGATTTCATGTGGAATTGATGGTTCTGTGCAGAATTCTATCAGCACAATATAATCTTCTCTTAAGCAGATACAGATTTAAGACCCCTTGATTGTTATTCTCCAAATAATTTGACACACTATATATTTCCAAGGAAAAATTTGACCCAGCTGTCTCAGATGCCCTTCGCCAAGCAGCGGGGGTCATCCAGCTTTCATCAGCTAGCTTGTGGATAAAATACCTGACATTTTTATCAGGGTGGTTCTTGCCCAGTACCCTATTAATTCTGTCTAATTCCCGTTGAAAATTGTTTCACATCCCACTAATCTGCTAGATCAGTGGTTCTGAGCCCTTTATTGAAAACTAGCCAAATCCTTTGTTTAAAAAAAATCAGTCTGTTTGGAGAAATGCCTATTAGAAAGGCATTTTGGTCTTATGACGGCTAGACATGCGATGGAGTGTGAAAAGATCGTACATTAAAGATAGGAGATGCTAGCCTTCCATTCCAAAGAAACACTATGTGAGCTGAGCTGTGAGACAGATGGGGAGAGCCTCTTTCCACCCGGGGCTGCATCCAGTGTGGAAGGAGCATCCAGGGGCTGCCTGTCCATGGGACTAGGGCTGAAGGCAAAAGGTGCAAAGCCAAACGTATACACACCCCTCCACATATTGTAGCCCACAGTTTTTACTGACAGCACCTAAGCCTTACAAGAGGCATTTCAGTCTTTCAGAATCAGGGGGAAATGCAGGACAAATGCCAGGAAACCCCTAGATCATGGGTCCTCAAACTACGGCCTGCGGGCTGGATGCGGCCCACCACGCCCATTTATCCAGTCCGCCTCAGAGGTTTTGGACTCCCCGTGCCCACCGCTGCCTCCCGCCTCACCACACAGGTAGTGAGGTGGTGGCTTGCTCACTCAGAGATGGTTTTGGACTCACTCGGAGATCTCTGAGCAAGCAAGCTGCCACGCACGCCCAATGCCTCACCGGCCCACGCCTGTCGCCGCCACTGCCTTTCAACTGGCCTCCTGTTGAAAAAGTTTGAGGACCCTGCCCTAGATTATCAGTGGTCAGGGAAAAGGTAGGCCCTGCGAAGGGGACATGGCCATCTGGGGGATGTTGGAGAAATGCGTTGGGACTCCAGGAGGGTCCCCTGGGCCTGAGGTCTTTAAAAATATGGTTTGTAATACTATCAAGAGCCACTGAGAAGACCAAAATTATGTTCTGGCCTTTCTGTCTTTAGATACTGAACACTGATTAAAACAACAGCATTTTTGGTACTGAAGCATCGCCCAAAACCAGCCCCGATCAGTGCTCATCTGCTTGCCTTGAGCTAGCATCCACTTCAAACTCCAAGCTGCACCATGGGACCCGCTTCCAGAAGCCCCTAAGTTTTGGGGACAGAGCCCAGTGATAAAAAGGTGGAGCCAAGCAGTAGGTGGGTAGAATCAATGCATGACTTTAAAATAGCTGCTGCTGCCATCTTGATTTCCCAGGAATGCCTCTGGGCAGCTTGTCCTTTGTGAGTAGTAAGGCCCATTTTTATGGTTGTGTTCAGTGCAGTTTCAAATTTTGAAAAATGATCACAGGCCGCAAAGGCTGCCTGCCACTGAACAAGGCCAAGACAGATCACTCTTATGCAGGCTAGACTCTAGTTGTGTCACTAGCAAAAAAGGAAGGACCAAAGGGTAGGCAGTCTTGTGACCTGTGGATGATTTGACTATAGCTCCCAGAAGCCCAAGCTAGCATGGTCAATGGCCAAGAATCACTGAATTTGTAGTCTAAGAACATGTTCCGCTGGCATGTCAGCATGCAGCCATCCCTTTGCCCTAGAAAGGTGGACTACAGGCTGTGCCAAGTAATGGGTTTTGCAAATGATGGCTGAATGAGGGCATCTTTTATCACACAGGCAGGCATAGGAAAAAGAGATTCTCAAGTATTCATAAAATGTAAAGTGCAATATTGGGAGACCAAGAAGCAAACAGTTGGGCCGCAAAGCTTGGATTCACAGGGCTCTCAATGTGTTCTGTTTGGGACAGGTGGGAGAGAAATGGGAATCTAATGTTTTGTGCAAATGACAAGCCTGGTTGACTAACAGTTGTTTAAGGGTTTCCTCTTGCTCCCTTATTTAGCATGTGAGCTCATCAAGAAAGGAACTATCTTGGGTAAAAAAACCCGCTGAGAACAATAGTCTACTGATACAACATGTACAACAATTGTAGGGCTTTTTCCCTTGAAAACTTAACTTTTAACACAACTGGATATGGAAATAGACCAGAACTCTCATTGGGGTTATTTGATCCTAATCACTCACAGATGATTTAGTCCTTTGCTTTATCTTATGCCTGCATTTGTTACCATTTTTAAGCCGCTTGAGACAAATAGAAATGTATGCAAAAGGGGGTCAAATGTTCAAATGCACAATGTTAGGCAAATAGAAATCTATTTAGACACCTGGAGTAGTGCTCTTAATGGCAAATATCTGGTTCAGATCTTGCCTGAGGCAAGCCGCTGGCTTAGTTCAGACACTACCCCAATCAAAAGCATGAGGTAACTTTGAAGCCTGAATTTTGACAGAACATGGCTGTGGTTAGCACAAATGTTGGATGTGAAGGCTGAGCTAAGCCAATCTCCAAGATCACATGATCACTGGGAAGGTGGGGAGGAGAAATAATGGCTTCTTTCCCCTGCCCACCACATACCAGTTTCTAGGCCTGGATCTCTGTGTGTGTAAGAAGAGCCCCCCCCCCCGCCCCCACCAGCAGGTAATATACACACAGCAGCTGTTAAAAATACTTCTCCCTCTCCAGGTCTGGGCCTGCCAGTTGTGTGCTGTGCAAGTTAATTACCCTCGAGGCACTTCACTTCCTTGAGACTGGCAAGGTGTACTGTGGTGGCTGGCTTCAAAGCCACGTCGGAACCGATGGCTTGTTCTAGGGTGGCTTGTGGCCACCCTCTTCTGTATGTCTTGCTGGGTTAGGCAGATTGCACTGATCAGAGGGAGCTAACGGAGGGAGGGGAGACCTATAGAACAAAGCAGACTGTGAAAATCCATGTATTAAGTCTGTTGGTTGATGGCTTTTCATTGGTGAAACCTTAGCGTGTCCTTGGAAAAGAAACATCAAAGGTAGGGGAGAAAGAGGGATTGACCTGCTTGAGCCTGCCAATATTCTGGAAGAGATTACATGCTTTGAGGTGAAAATACTCTCCTGTGCAGTGTACAGTGGGGTTTTCCTGTTCCCTCTCTGCTTGGGACTTGCAGCCATCTAGGGCTCTATAGCACATCAAGGAAATACCTCAGGAGTAGAGCAACAAAGGCATCCCTTATCCTCCCCCCCCACACACACCACACCTCAAATTCCCCTCCCAAGCATAACTTGGTCACCTCACCTTTGCGGTACATGCATTGCTGATCGCCCATGCTGGACTAATGTTGCACAAATAGACATCACTTTCATGGCAGGCTTGAACCCCATGCCTGAGATTTCCCACATGCTTTTTGGTTAGCCTCAAAGTCCCTCAATCTGCTCCATTGCTTGGATAGTGGTGCAGAAGTTTTCACCCTTCACCATATTGCCCATGAAAGTCCAATAACTCTGGAGGGGAAGGCTGGTGGAACAGAACTCCACGGGCATCTCCTCCTTCTGGCAAAGTTGAGCCTGGGCTTGAAAAGGCTCACAGTCCATTGCCCATCCTCTAGAACAAGAGCAGGAAAAGACAGATCTTTTGGACTGCATCTCTCAGAAGTTCCTGTGCGCATGAGCAATGCTCATCAAAGCTGAAAGTTGAAGTCTAACACATCTGGAGAATGACTGTGATTGTCTGGATAGTTCAGACTCTATACCTGATTTAAAATGATTGAACAGCTGAATGTGTGCTCAGGTTCATGGCATTATCTTGAGCCTCTACCTCCATTAAGGGAGCTACTGGGCTGAAAAGGTGTTACTTTAGGTGTCCGCCTGAAATGACTATTTTTTCTAAAGTACCACCAACAAAATATATCATTACTCACCTATTCACACATGGCTGTGCTCATCATCACATACAGCAAGGAATTGCAATCTTGCAATTTACAAAAGCATCTCACCTGATTTCCTGGAAGTAATTCTTACTCACCGCAGGCACCCATGTGAGTACTATTAATAAACTTGATTTACTACTGGTACAACAACATAGAAAAATGATCAAAAGGACTAGCAGAAGCTGTATGTGGATGATATAGAAATCTGTATCCGGCCACATTTTTTGCAACCTACTCTTCCATTATTGAAGGCAGAAGAAAGAAAACTACTGACAAATAATAAACAAAGAGATTTTCATGCCATGTTTTGAATAGTAAGCAGTGACATCTGCTGGTCAGAGCACTGAGTTGTTTAGTACACAAAAAACAGCACACTTTCATGAAGGTGATTTTTATTAAATGGATTAATGCATCATTTTACAGCAAGCCTCCTCCCCGCCCCACCAAACCTAAAGAATAGGTTTTTAATGTTCTGATCCAATTTCTTTTTATCAATACAGTCTCTTTATATAGGGTCATATATAAATGAAGCATTCTGTTACAAGTATTCATAGAAAACTCTGAAGTGGCTTTCAATAATGTCAGCTTTCATAGAGGCATCCACAGATGCCACCGTGGCATCCAAACCATGATAAAAAAGCGTTAAGTTTCATTCGTAGTCACACTATCTGCAATATGCAACTTAAAAGAGCATAGTAAGGTACTGGGGCAAACTTATACAGAAGTAGTAAAACTGATCATTTATAAATTCAGCAGTGAGAGGCTACATTAACAGAAAGCATTAGCTGTCAAGACAACACCGAGAAGACTAGCGTTCTTGGGCTCCTCTTCCCCTCTAGGTAACTTGCTTTAGAGGTGACTGTTGTGTAGCTTAGTCTTTTTCCCAGTTAGAGAATATTCATGAATTCATAGTTAAACTTCTGCTATCACCACTTAGTGCTGGGCCACTGTCCCAATACAGCATGTAGCTGAAATGGAGTCCTAAATCTGTAGCCACTGACTTGCCTGCCAAGACAACATGTTTCCTCTCGTCTGAAAATGCCAACTAGAAACACAGTTCAGTTGTGGTGTAAGCTACACCAACTAATACAGAACAAAGAGGGGGTTGTCAGTTTCTTTTGCAACCTAAATTTGATTTTTTTCATGGACAAAGTCTAAGTGCTGCAGATGATAAGGATACAGCTCCAAAAATTCCAAAGATACATTATATATTGTCATGTTGGTGCTAAATAGATATTAAATAGTAACAGATGTCCAAAGATCTAGAACAGGAGGGTTACCAAAACAAAATCAAGTGCTTTCAAACCATCTAGAAAATATTGTTACACTGAAGTCATAGAGGAAAGAAAAAACAGTGCACACTTCAGGCACAATTCTATGCAGGTTTAGACAGAAAAAAAGTCTACAACTCCCTACATAGCTGGATGGGGCCTGCTGGGAGTTTTAGGCTGCTTTTCTATCTAAACTAGCAAAAGATTGCACACTTTCCGATTTCTTACTGGATCTTGCATTAATCTGTGTGCTGAGGTTTGAGTTGAGGAGGTGCACTCAATTCAGATGTAATCAAGTTTTTTATCCTCTGCATTTTACTTCTTCTTTAGCCATGGTACATCATGCAATTACTGTACATAAGGCAACCAAGTTTCCAGGCCACTTGGTGCCTATGTAAATGGCAGCCCTACAATTTCATGTCACAATAAATGTGCTAACCTTTAAAGAATCACATGACCCTTTGCTGTTTTGCTCCCATTCAGAATTTTATGAAGTGGCTGTCTAGATGGATCCTCGAAGTGGTCTTGCAATGCAAGCACTATTCAATCAGTCAACTAGGTATGTGTCAGCAGAGCACTGATGAACGGTATTTGATTTCTGTCTTTAAACATTTAGTATGAGTACTCATAGCTCAGGTAGTGTGAGACCAGTCCTCTTAACCAGTGTCGTTCATGAAGTTCAAATTCCAAAGAACAAGGAAGTACAAGCAAGTTGTCTAAAATGGAACTTTAACAAGTTGCCTGTCTGGGTGATGCTTGTAGGACTTTTTTTCTGTCCAGTGATGCATAGGATTATACCCTAAATGATCCTCTTTAACACTGAACAGGATTTTTAAAAAAGGGAATAGGAGAATGGGCTATTGTGTTTTCATTTGTGTTATGGTTTTATTCAAAGAAATGAAAATGTAACAGCCAGAATAAGCCAAAGGTGGCAACCTTAGTGAGTGCTTAAACTGGGGCAGTCATAAAAGACTCTTCAAGTTGAATGTCATGTTGCTCATACATCCAAGTGAAAAATGAGAAATAGCTCCTGCTTGTTCCAGATGTCCTACAGACTAAGAGGCCCAAAAGTACAAAGCAGCAACTGTGAGGTTGTTATTCATTTGTGCACAGGATCCAGAGGGTTTTCCTCAAGGGAACACTTCTCTTTCAGAGATGTCACATTTCATCAGGACTTAAATTGCAAATTGTTGCTGAAAAAATTTCCCTGGCTAGCAAGATCTTTGGAATTGAGGCTGTTTTCTGTAATATGGTTGAGTGAGTGTCAGGAAAGCCATTGGAAAATGTTTCAGACATGCTACAACTTTAATTCTAGTGCTCAGCCTGTACTGGAGATGAAATTGACTCCTCACTTCAGTGCCCCATATAATTTCTCCCTTAACCTCACACAGTTATGAACTTAATCCTTGTCTAGTAGCCACTTTCTCCATTTAAACTGCAGCCTTAAGCTATTTATCTTACTACAGGGAAAAGATATGGGGGTTCTGTATCTTTTCCCCTACAAGAGAAAAGCAAGCCAAGTTAATGATAAGGTTTGAAGTGGATTATTTAATAAGTAGGCTATGGTTCAAAATTAATTTGCAGCTCAAGTCAGATGCAATAAGTAAGTAATGAAAGTAGTACAAGTGACTAAGCCACTCATTTTAGGCTTAGTATTCTGACAGCATATCATACAAAATGTTTCCAAAGATTGCAATAACTTGCGGTGTGTGTTAACTGGAAAATGCACTGAAAGACATACAAAGTATGATCAAAACAAAGGACAAATTATTCTTCCTTATATAGATGGATGGAATAGGTTTTTATGAACTTTATATAAATAGGCATATTACATTGCTTTATTACATCAGGGATAATAATGTGTAAGAATACAACACAAGGAGAAGCCCTTACCAATGCCATTGAAGTGAAAGGACTTGCCACTAATACACCACAAATAACTGCTAGTAGACAGTTTCTTTCACAGATATGCATATGTGATGTTTTCCCATTTTTCCCCTAAACTACAGGCATCAAGGATTAGAAATGATTTGGGGAAACACTGTTGGTACTGCAGAATATGTACACAGACCTGTAACTTTTGCGCTTGTTCACTGAAATAAAAGCAATATGAACTTTCACCACTGAACAGAACAACTTCCTAGATTCAAATGAAATGGCAAAGGCAGCATGAGTTACTACATCTCTTAAATCTAACACAAAATGCATGCTTTTTACACTGATTTTCCATGAATTCAACACTTGATAGCCGTATCTTTTCTTTTCAATCCTTTGCTTGCTTATACAACGTAAACACAACTACAATAGTGCAAACACATAACATGTGCACTATTTCTCTTCCCCTGAATTAGTATGGGTAAATATTTTCCTTTGGGGAAATTTACAGGGCAAAAGATGAGCCTGCCTTACTAGAAAAATAAATATTCTCTGACTTGCTTAGTAATGGAACATAGACACCTTGCTGGTATCCATTTTTAGATATCTGCTCTTTCAAAATGGAAAAAGAATTAATCTTTCAATGAAGTACTTTCTTACTCCAAAACATTAGTGTATAGAAGCCCTTGCTATATACTCATAAATGACTCTTTACTGATAGAGTACTATCAATATAATTTTATGGTAGAGTGTAGACATGCTTTTTCTGATAACTGGGCAAAGATCACTGGGGCTAAATGTCTACGGTGTTAATTATCAGTGCACTGGAGATTATGAATGAAATTAATTCTCTTGAACAGGGATATTCAATCTCTTTCAGCTTGAGGACCACATTCAATTTTGGAAGAACTCTTGGGGAGTGGGGTGTTACAGTCATGGCTGAGCTAAAAGCTGAAGGAGATAGTATCGCAGAGAAAAGGAACAGGGGTGCAAACAATACTTGTACAATGTCACTTAAAGCTCTCACTGCCAGCAACCAAGCCTTAGGAGGGACATTTCAGCCAAAGTCAGGAAACTACCATATGATCTGTTCAAGTGGCAGAAAGGGGGTAACTGAGAAAGCCTGGAGGACTGGACTGGAACCCCAGTCGGGCCCTATTTGGCCCACAGAGCTAAAGCACAAAATCCCTGCACTTGAGCATTCAAAAGATTGCACTGAAGCATGTGGATCTGTGACATCAGTGCAACTGCAAAGTAGCCCAGCGATCATTGTCAGCATATCATTACATACTCCAGTTTTTCTTGCCCTTTCTGTTGAGTTCTAAGTAGCCTCGTCTAATAGTTTGCTAATTTTTGTGGAATTTGGGACGTCCCAGCCAAGGCCTTTGCCAGCAACCTCCCCACTGTGACTGCTCTGGACCACTACTTTTTCATTTTGACTGAGGAGCTTGATGAACACTCCTAGGGGGTCGGGTGGTGGGGGAGAGATTAAAGCCACCCTCTGCCAGTGGTCATAGTCAGCAGCCCGTCTTTTACTTTTGAGCTGTGGGGTGGGGAAGGTTACCAGGGCACCTAAACGATTTGTAGCCTGCACAGAGCAAACAGGCTGCCCACATGTGGTCTTAGAGAGGGGTACAGAACCTCTTTCAGCTCAAGGACTGAATTCCATTTTGGAGACGCTCTCGGGCACTGCACTTCAGTGATGTGTAGAGCTAATGGGGCAAGGCTAAACCAAATCAGCATATCCTAACATAAAGTTCTTACTGTCAGAAACTAAGTCTTAGGAGCGCCATGGGGAGATAGACTGTACCCAAACCATGAAGCAGTTGGCTAGGGAGAATAGGGGTGGTCATGGGAAGGTGCATGGCCATCTGGAGAACCTCGGGGGGAGGGGGCGGGACTTGTTGCCTGGGCATGAGGTTGTACATCCTTGGCCTAGGAGTGCACACTGTGAGATGCTGTCCAACGTTTAGAGAGGAAATGGTGATGATTCTGGCCTTGAACAAAAATACCCAGGCCAGAGATGCTCCTGACCCAAAAGGGAGCTCAAGTGGTTAAGTCCACCTGGAGGCCCTCAATGCTGCAGGCATGGATTGATCCACAAGTTGCTCTCCTGGTGAATCCCCCCTGCTACTGACTTTGCTACCTCCCAGTGTAAACCGCATTCCTGTCAATGGGAAGTGTGACTGGAAAAATTCGGAGCTCATTGGGTGCATAGCTTTTTCTAACTAAAGTACCTTAAGCTTGTCCTTAAGGATGAAGCAACCACTTAGCTGATGCCTACAGCCAGCAGAAGACATAAATTGCCTCTGCCTGAAGCAAAGCAACAAATGAAAGCCCTTTCACAAAGAGATAGCAATGGATATTCTCTATAAGACCCAGGAATGGCCATTATGTTTTGGCAGACAAGGCAGAAAATGTCTCTCTCCTTGCTGGCAGTAAAAATGGCATAGTATTAGTTTGCTTTTTAAAGGTTGCCCAGTCTTACTCCCAGAGTTAGCCCTGAGGCACAGCCTTCTCACTGTGCCTAGAGGTGGGGCTAGTCCTTCCAATGTCTCAAACCTTCGTCGGCTGTTTCCATTTAGAACTTGGCATTGAGGAATTCATAGCTTTAAAGCTGTGAAACAGTTCTCCATAAAATAGCCTCAAAAATATTAACTAGGTACCCAATGCCCCCCACCCCAAGTTTAACATTGTGAAATGACTGAATTTTTGATGTGGAAACTGAATGACACACTAAATGACCCTATTCTAAAACCAAGAAAGAATAAATTATGGTCAGGTCAAAATATATGTACACTGCAAGAGTTTGGGCCCCAGCTTTCTAATAGAATAGGCATGCAATGGCCAGGAAGGGCATGCAAGATCTGCAGTGATACTTAATAATGATGTACGATGACACTGAAGAGAGTAATGTGAGTGGGAAAGTGACAGATTTTTAAAATGAGTAGTGGTCCATGAAGGGCTAAAAAAAGGGGGCTTCTACCATAGGTATCATATGATGCAAACAGAAGTCTTATCTCATGGAAAACTTTAAATATTAATCAAAATTATGATGGATTTTAGATGCTGTCTCCAATATCCTGGTCCAGAATTTCATCTCATTTAGATCACTTTAATTAACTACTTTCATTTGCAAATGAACTGGATTATCCATGTAATACCAACATTCACTCTAATCATCTGTATCTGAGTATCTTTTATGAACTCTAAGCACAGTTTTCAAGACCTAAGAGTGGGAAAAAATTGGGGACTACAGAAGTAAGGAAATAAATTCTTCAGAAGTCTAAAAAAATAAATTAACCAATCTAGCAGAAATGTGCATAAGGAAGTGCTTTAAAAAGTTTGATATGTGTAGACCAAATATCTATTTAAGCCAGCCCTGGATCATGATGAAACAAATCAATCTTGTGTTCAGAACCGTATCATGCTAGGTGCTATTTACTTATATAAATATGCATTTTGAAATGTTACACAAGCCTGAACAACAACTGAGACAAAAGGCTTCATGCTGGGACAAGGATCAGAAAGCAAATATCTAGCAGTTTCTGTCTAGGTAGATGTTTCTACTGTCTTTCAAAAGTGGTACATAATTGGCCAGACATGCACAAATATGCAGTGTTTCATATATTCTGAATGTTTCCCCAAGAAAAAAAATTGATGTTTTCATGGTAGGCATGAGTAGTGTTCTAAAGGGGCAACTGATGCACAGGGCAAGGTTTTGTAAGAAATGCATCTTTTTGATTACACTCTAAAATAACCAATTGCATACCAAAAACCTGATGCAATACTAATCTAGACCATTTGGGAAGTGAAAATAACAGAGGTATAGGAATCCGTGAAAGTCCGTGTTTTAACTCTTCTGCTTAAAAAGCTTTTTTAGCAACCAACCTACAGTGACATTTTAAGATAACTTATCATGATTAGACAAAATTGAACTTTTCAATATGCAACAAAGGCATTCATTAAGGAAAGATGTACATAAACACAAACCATACTTAACAGTCAAATTGTATAAAAGGTAAAATGAAAAGCGGTCAACAGCTGGAGCTACTTAACGTACACAATAGCTGCAATTCTTGCATGCATCTTGGCTTTATGAAAGATACCACAGAGCTCTCTCCAAGGCAGAGCTTTCTTAGGCTGTAAAACCTGCCAATGGGAGGCAGGTTTGTTAAGAATCAGACTTATTGGACTGGTAACTACCTCCACTGGTTGTACAAACTGACCTTTGGTTCCTTTCATTTTGTTCAACACTTGCATCATCCATTAAGAAGAAAACTGAAAACAGCTAATTTGGAAGGATGAAAGAACATTTTTTGTTCTGGTTTATTTTTTTTTTAAGAGCCCTTTTAAGGCAGGGAAAATCATACATTAACTGTGACCTTGGAGCACACATATTGATACAAGCAGCTGCTTCAAGCAGAGTTCACAGTTAAAAGCTCAGGCTGCCAAATTATGAGATTAAAAGATCCCAACACCTTTTAATTCCAAAAGGGAGAGTGTGTTGTAGTGTTGGAACACAAACCAGGTACTGTAGACTATTGCACATTTCAACATAACACAAGTGAAAAATAGAGAGTTCAAAAGATAATACACTCTGTCACACAGAAACATACAAGTGAGCTTGTGCACAGAACCCAAAACATGAATAGCAGACACCACTGTAGCCCATTGGCTTATGTGTTTAGTGACCTTTAGAAACCGGTCCAAACTGATTATCAGCAATACATTTTTTTGTTTTTGTTTTTTAAAAAAAATATTTTGAGACCACAGCATTTGATACATTTATATATAATTCTGTGGTCAAGGACAGACAGATGTAACTTTGCAATACTAAATAAAAAGTGCAAAAATGTTAAAAAAAAGAACAAAATTAAAAATATGGAAGCATAAGCTAAAAAATTGTCTGCATAGCTGAAATCTATTTAAAGCAAGTCCTTGGTAAGGGATGCTGACAGGAGAAAGCAGTTTTTTAAAAAAAAGTCTTCTGCATGTTTAACAGAATGCAACAATGTCATTTTTGTCAGCTTTTAAACAATTCACAGACAGTTCACTCCCGTATCCTTTGACACCATCGTTGTGGCAGTACCTCCTTCTACAAGATAAACAGCTGTGCTGGACTTAGAACTAACCACTCGATCGTTGCCATTGTTGTTGACCTCACAGTCAAGCGGCTCTGTAGATATGACCCATGTTGAGGGGCGCCACCGCTTAAGGGAATATGGTGTTTTCACACGTTTCTTGATCTTTTCTCCTGAGCCGGGTTTGCCATCTAGGGATGACTCGCTTACTAAAAAAGGAAGAAAGCACAAGATGTCATATAGAAAGAAGGAGCACAAAGGCTGAAGCAGTGCAAGGGAAAAGGCAAAAGCAGCAGACGCCAAAGCAGTCTACTTCAACTGACCTCATCTTGGCAACCAGCAACAGTCAAAGAATATGAAAAAACTAAAGTGCAGGTCTAGATTTAGTTGCCTCTTATGTAATGGTGTTATTTCCCTTGGATTTAGAACTGATTTGTAGTTTCCATTAGAGCAACTATTGAACAAACACTGCAAAAAGGAGTGTTCTCTTGCATCTACTCTTGCTGAGAGGAGTATTGCACAATCAGCAAAAAGTCTTCCCTTTGTGCCTTCCAAACATGTTGAGACTGCAGCACCCAAATTCCCATCAATGGCCTTGGAAGTCTGGGAGTTGTGGTCCAAATGCTTCTGAAGGCCACCAGGTAAGGCTGAGCAAAAACAGTACAACTCTAGCCAGACTCTAGCATATTCCAGTATTTTTTAAAATCATCACCACACACTGCTAGCATGTCAAGAAATAAGGTTCTCACCTTGCCTTCCCCATAACATCATTTTCTGTATGCAGATTTTTTTTAAACTGGGAAACTCCAATACTTAACCTGCTACCTGCAGTCTCAAATGCTAGAGCCCAGCCAAAGAAATCCCACGTGATCATATCCTAAGAAAATGAATGAGATGCATAAGCCTGTATCAGTACTTGTTAAAACAGCAATCGGAAAGGCCATTTGAAAATGAGGTCCTGATTCCTCTTTGTGTCTTAAATCTGCTGTAGCAATGAAGATGACGTTGGCAAGCAAGGATCAGAAACTAGGGTTTGAAGCAGATGTAGACTTTGTGCTTTGGGTTGGCGGGATTCTTGAATGAGCCAACAGCACTTACAGCCAAAGCACTGCCCTGAAGGTACAACTAAGGACTGGAATGCGGTACTGTCCAGTCAACATGTTTAATCCTGAGAAACATCAATCAATATTCACCAATAAATTCCCACCAGAACTTACACTGCGTACTACAGCCATCCAAGGTATTTGTTGCTGACAGATCCAGTGAGTTAGGCCTCTGTGCTCTTCTAGTCTGGGTTTGTCCAGAATTTGGTGTCATCCTCTGGTTGCCAAAAGTCGAAACTCCTTGCCCTGGACACGGGTTACTGTTGTTGTTGTTGGCATTTGTTCGGCCGTTATCCAGGGACCGTTCTCTCCTGTCAACTAGACGATCCAGAATGCCTTCATCCTGGCTCACTTGCTGCTCCCTTCTCAATAAGGGTTCGTGTTCGTCGGGGCTTGAGTTGATGTTCAGACGAGTGTCCTCTCCGCTGAACTGGTTCTGCAACATCTCCTGGGCCCTGTGTGCCCCTGAGCCCGTCGCCTGGCCTGATGGCATTGTGCCATTGGCATATTGGGCTGCAGCAGCATGAGCGTTTATTGCATGGCTCCTTCCTGCTACTTCATTGGTGGTAACGGTCACCACATGAGGTTCTGCAGCATTGATAGTGTTCATCTTAGCGACTCCAGTTTCTACTTGCTTCAAGTTTGATTTGTGCTTCCCTCCAAATTTCAGCCGGGGCTCTTTTGTCGAGTTTTTGGTGCTTAAGGGTAGGCTAGTAGGCCTCTTTGGGAGGTTCTGCTGCTTGGGAAGAGGGTAGACCTGAGCAGGCTGGACATCTGGAATCAGACATGCTTGACCATTGCCAGCTTGCGTGAAGTCCTGCTGCCCCGTTGCTTCTACAGCCAGTTTTATCAGTGGGTACAACAAGCTGGAACTAGTGCTGCTGAGCGGATCTGGCCCACTGAACTGCTTCAGGGAATGCTCCATCAGGTTCTCATCAGAGCTCTCCTTTAAGTTCTTGTCGACTTCCTTTGGATCCAGCTTGTTGGTCTCCAAGTCCTCCTCTGTTAGCTGCAGGCAAACAGGAGTTGGCCCAAGTGGCTGCACGCCATTTGCAGCACCAAGGTTTGTTTCACCTGAGTAAGGCATCTCGGATATGGTGGTCATGCCAGTGCTTGGGGTGAGGCCAGTTGTGTTGGTGGTGGTGGTGTTTGTTGACAAGCTTGTGACGCTCGTCTCAGGGCTAGGAATACGGGCTTGTGCTTGCTGCCGCTCGTAGTTAATGGAGTTTCTGTTCTTCTCCCCAAGCGTCAGTGGTGTGCTTGACATGGAAAGCTCAGAGGAAATGTTCTTCACTATGCTGTCAGTGTGGTGAATGGAGTCCTCAATGTAAGATGAGGAAGAGTAATCTTGATATGGTCTGATCTTTGGCACACGCCTATGGTGTGACAGATTTCTTTAAAAAAGAAAGCAAAAACATAGTAGGATTATGGGTGATTATACTATTTCCCCATAAAAGTGTCTGAAGTGTATCACTATTCCAGGAGTTTTGTTCTGTGAATGGCACTAGCCCTATGTTAAATGCCTCAGATTTGTGTTTTTCGGGGATGATATACTCACCATTTTAGCTGACACAGGCCGATTATAATTTTTGTTCATGATTATCCCACTTACAATAAAGTTGTTCTTCCATGCTTTTAAGAAGTGGGAACAGGGATATTACCAGGCATGGCTAGTGCTAGTTTGGCCATGTCTGGAAATATCCTCCGTGATCATGAGACAGTTGCACCTTCTGTGCATGAGACCTGTGGATGTCAGTCCGCCTTTAGAATGATGCAGGCAGTGATCTTTTCCGGATTACTAGGCCACTGGAGTCGGATGTTTGCTCTATCACGACAAGTAGTCTTTTCTCATATTCTTTGAGAACAAAGCCAGGTTTTAAAAAAGTTGTACAGTGTAATGGTTTTATAAATGAAGATTCATTTTGTCAAAATATGTATATTAATTTTTGACTTCACACCATGCCAAAGGTAGGGCAAGAAGGGCCCTTGCAGGTGACTGCTTGGAGTAAGCAGCTATTGCATGTCTGCCTTTATGTGACATGCTTGCAAATCCCCTTTCAGTCTCAGGTTGGGATATTCTATATACAGATACTCTATACATAGAGGGTGAGGGAAAAGAGGAGAATATCCTTTTTTTTAAAAAAAATTAAATGCAGCATCTGTGCAACTGGGGTTCATTTTCCCTGCCCCTTTTCCCCCTAAGAATGTGGGCAGAAGTGCAGGCACATGAGATGACAATTCTGGAACTGATTGCATCACAAAAAATATTCAGTAAGGCCTGTAATGCCTGCACAAACCCTTTCCACAAAGCCATCACAACAACCATGGGGAGATTATCTGCAAGAATAATCAACATTTTCCCAGGCACAAAAACACTGTGATTAGAACACTGGGAGAATATGATATACCTGAGTTCAAGCACAACATCAAGGAAAGGAATGTGAACAGAAAACAACAAGTACGAAGCCAACAGACAGTACACATGGTAAAAATGCCCCTATCATCCCTACTGCACAGGTTTTTAGCAAACAGAGCAAGAATGAGCACTGTATGTTTGGTACTACATACCTCTCATTCTGCATAGCTGTAGACATAGGGTTAACTGTTGGGCTGACAGATTTATTCCTCTCCCAGATCATCATGAGTTCAGCCATCCTCTCTTCCGCACACTGGGCTGTCAGCCGAGCTTCAGCATCTTGATCCCAACAGTCTTCGATTGTCTCTTTTAGTGACCTCACAGCCTGCAGAGTAAAACACATTTCCTGTGCCTTTCTTCAACAGAATGCCAATACCAAACCATCATAAAATTGATTCTTAAATATTCTATATCCTGAAGCGACAGGTAATGTTGCTTATTAAGATTACAAAAAGAGCCATGCTGGATCAAAGCAAAGGGCCATCTAGTTTGCACAGCAGCCACTGAAATGCCTACAGGAAGCCCACATGTTAATTGAGTGCACCAAGCACTGAGAAGCATCTCCTGGAGGTAGCCTAGCACCATCCTGATGCAGAGATCATCAAAGCCCTCTTTTCCATGAATGTGTGTAATCGCCTTTAAAGTGACCTGAGTTGGTGGCTATCGCTGCATCCTGTGAAAGTGAATTCCACAGTTTAACTAGGCACTGTGTGAAAAAGCACTTTTGTCTGTCCTGAAACTCGCACTGTTTGCCCTCATCTGATTCCCTCAAATTCTAACGTTAGAAGAAAAGGAGAAAAGCTCAATACACTTTTTCCAAACTTGACATAACTGGTAGTTTTATCATATACAATGCACCTCTTTCTTTCCTTTTTCCTAAACTAATCCAAGCATTGTAAACATTCATCAGAAGGGAAGAGCTTAAATTCCTCAATCATTTTGGTTGCCCTTTCCTGCAGCATTGTAATTCTAAGACAGCTTTTAACAGCACAATTCTATGTACCTTTACTCAGAGGTAAGCACAAGTGTGTATAGCAAGGGTGGAGAACCACTGGCTGTCCAGAGGTTCTCCATTTGTTTGGTTATTTCCAGTCCTATTGGAAACAAAGCAGCTATAATTATAGAGAATGAGAGTTCTTACATCTGTTTGCTTCTGTTCATTAATTAAGAAACAGAGTAGGCAAAACAGATTTTCATTAAACTAATAAAAAAAATTGCATGATTATTTACTGTATTTTTCACCATGTGTGAGATAATTCCGCCAGCTTTAGATGGGGGTGGGGGGGAATGAAGGGTCAAATCTGGGACATCCTGGGGAAGCAAAGGGCCCTTGGATCTGCCCCCAGAACAACCTGTTTTAATTCCTGCCATTGACAGAAACATCACAAACATTACTTGCCCATGCAACTTTCCCTTCAGCATGCTGGGTGCTGCTGGAGAAGACATGCCACCTAATCAATGAAGGGGTTCATCCACCCATCCTAACCCATTCAGACAGTAGATTCAGGGGTTAGCACTGAGCTCTTAACCTCCTATGATAAAATCTATTTAAAAATATGCAGAGATAATTTAAATATCACAATAATTAAAACTGAACATAGCATGCACCACTGAAATGCATCCTGAAATGTTCAGGAAAATCTTAATGTTGTTCAAAAGCTGCAATAGTAACCCATTGTATCAAGCTCCTGAACAGCAACCTTCTGAACAGAGGCTTACATTTTAAATGTGTCGAATGAAAAAACACAAACAAAAAACCAACAGCATGCATCTAGCTGCTCTCACCAAGCTGTTCTCTTTCCAGGCCTCTGGGAATTTTGGTCGTTGCTTTTCCCTTGAAACAAGGACTTGCATATCTTCAAAAGTGGGGTGGTTTCCAACTTCCGTTTGGAATGCTGTCTGGAATTCTGGAACTGATTCTCCTATTGCAGAGAGCATTGTTTAAAGTGTTGTATAATAAAACAACCAAAAAAGGTGGGCAGGTGAAATAAAATGAAATGACTTGGCTCTGAAATACCAGGGCACAGCAGGAAGGTGTCTGCTGTATTTTCTCCCCTTGTACCAAGACCAGGATTTGGTGGGGAATAGGCATATATGCAGTTTTGGCTGCAGCTTATCCAGCTCTTTATCTGCTTAAACCTATATAGTTGGGTGACTGGAAGTAGTGAACACTTCTCTCAATCTTATCCTCACAACAACATTGTGAGGTAGGTGGGGCTGAGAGTCTGCAACTGGCTCAAAGTCACCCAGTGGGCTCCATGGCTGAGCGGGGACTAGAACCCAGATCCTCTGAGTCCCAGTTCTGCACTTTTAACCACTACACCACTAGCTCTCATTTACAGGTGTTCACTTCCCTGGAAACTACAAGGATGAAGAGTGGCTTAAAAATGTTTGAAAAATAAATCAAGTAAATGAGCTCTCTTTGAAAACGACTTGTTATGTACCACAGCCCTTAACAGGAGGGTTCATTTTTGGGAATCCAAATGGCCTGACAGAGGAGCATTGTGGTATTATTTGGGGATCACAGGACAGGGAAGGTTTAAGAGAAACAAATGGAGATGTGGACACCATTTCTGTTTATCCCCCCCAAATTCCTGATTCTTTCCATGTGTGATGCACAGAGGCCATGATGAAAAAGGCTAAATTTCTCTTCGCCTTACCTAAACCATTCCTTAGAGCACAGGGAAGGTATTAGTCTCATGGTACACACCCCTTCCAAGGCTAATGCCCACCTTTAGAATAGTGTAAGTTGTTACAGAATCAAGTAGACCAGCTTTCCCTTACTTCATTTCCTCCAAACTGATACTCTCAATATTCCACAGATCCCAGAAGCCACCAAGCACAAGTTCTTGGATAGTTTTGTTATGTGTGTATGTATTTAAATTTAGGAAAAATATACTTCTGCATATCTCTGAAGCACATCTTCCCAACCCCTAATATGCAGAAATCACAACCTTATCATTAGGCTGCCAGATTCCACTAGTGACCAGATCACCTAAGCCTGATATTAAAAGGAATAATTTAAAGGAGACACTTAACGATAGAAATTATGAATATCAACTTTCAGAAAAGAAAAAAGTGATTTCAAAATTTATTATATTCACTCCTAAGTCACGTTTATCCCAGTGGTGTTGGAGTAGCTTGTCTATACATGTCAATGGAATCTTACACATTTGCTGAGATAATTGAATAATAATATCTGAGTGCTGCAAACATGTAATGCCCAACCCACAAGCAAATACAACCACAAAAAATCAAGAACATCCTGAGCAACAGAAATTGTAAAAATACTGAAAGGAACCCAGCTCCTTCATCCTCTCCAATAATCCCAACTAGTCTAAGGAGCTCTTTGACTCTGCGTTTTAGATGGCCAAAGATCAGTAACAACCACATAAATATTCTTTTTGCCTCTTCTTTTGCCCAGTGTGGAAATTCCTTCTCTTGGAATCACACATGGAATTTATTCGAAAAACGTAACATGAACTAGATAAGTTTACATGATGTGCATCTCTACAAAAACTTCAAAAGTTTAGAACTCAGACATTAGCTTAATTTCCCCCTCATTATCACACAAGCACCTTGTAACATATTCTGTCCAAAAACCTTCCTTTTTCAAGATGTGGGAGTTTCAGGTGCATATTCACATGGAACCTTCCCATTCTGATTTGCCTTGGAAACAAAATATAAACATACTACAAAGTGCAGAGCTTCCAATCTCCCTGATCTGCTATGTGCACAACAGTTTGTGTATGTGCTACCTACGCTTGTAGGGACTGACTATACTAGAACTGACACCACAGTGCCTCCCAACAAACCTCATGGGGACATGTCGATGGTGTCTATTCAGCTGCACTGCCAGTAAGCATGTAAGCTTTCCTTAATACCTAAAGCTTATCAGGCAGGATTAAGTTATTATGAACCAAGTGTACATATGTCACCATAAAGCACAAAATCACTGTGCAACACTAGATGGCACTGAGATCTCTGTAATGAATAAACAAGAGAGCTGTGTAGGGATGTATGAGGAATCCAATGGGAGAGTGGTTGACAATCTAATGGATTTCCACAATTCAGGCCTGGGTTCTGGTTTGATAACTCTGTGCTGGTGCTGATTCACTGTGGTGCAAATTCACCCAGTGTGCAGACTTCCAGCTCTAGGACAGATAGCAAATTGCATATTTTGGACCACTAATAAAATAAGCACCTGAAAATCATGCAGTTTTAGTGCATTTCTGCAGAATCAGTCAATCAATGCAAACTGATCTTATGCAAATTGGCCACTTCTGCACAAATTAAGCTGGAGCCACATTAATTTGGGGGTGTTTATTTGTGCATTAGTAGTCAAAAATGTGTGCAAATCATGATTCATCTTAGAATGAAGTATGGGAAACCCTCCTCCTCCTCCTACCTCAAAGTCAAAGTGGGCTGGCAATCTGTTGAGATGAAAGAAGTCAGATTTCCATGTTTTGGTACTTTAACTCTAACCTGCATCTTAACTCCAATTCTTAACACTCAAGTATAAGCCTACATTTCAACAACATGCGCAAAGGCACACTCGGGACGTTCTTATGGACCACTCCCATGGCTTTTCCAATTGAGGATAGTTTCAGGCCTCAGCACATGCCTAAAGACCCAGGTTTTCTGAAACTTAACTCTATGCTGAGGCTTAATCCCAAGTTGCAAGCCCAGATACAATGCCTCAACAGCCAGTCAGACAGCATGCACAGAAGTGGCACTCGGAATGCTCTTCCTGACTCCTCGCTTTGTTTGCCGAATCTGGACTATTTTCGGGCCCCTGGACATGCATAAGGACATAGGTTTTCCTAATTGTAACTTGAATCTTAGTCCCAATGCTAACCCCTACACAAAATTACTTTACATTCAGGCAGCATGCATCAAGGGAAACCTCAGGGTGTTCTTGTTGAATGGTCAATCTTTCTGCCCAACTGAGGCTACTTTCAGGCCCCTGAACATGTATAGGAACCTACGTTTTCCCAACTCCAACCCTACCTTGGAGCTTAACCCCAATCCTGACACTTGCACTACTTCCAATTTGCTGTGGCTCAAGTTCAGGCAGCTCCTGGACTTCCATCTGTAAGATGGAACACAAGTTTTAACTGCTAATGAAATTTGCACAAGTTCGTATCTGAAGGTCCTGTAGATCTACCTGATTTGTGCAAATTCCACCGATATGTGCAAATTATGATTTTATGCAAATTGGCCAATTTTGCACAAATCATGCTAGAGCCGTTGTGCATATTTCTTTCCAGCATTTATTTGTGCATATTTCATTAGCAGTTAAACAAGGGTCCATTTCAGAGACAGAAGTCTGCAGGGGGGAAAACCCTGGTTTTCTTCTGATCTTTCTGAGCTAAAAGAAGCTGGATTTCTTCTCTCAGTACATCTCAGGAGCTGGGCTTTACCCCAGAGTTACAGCTTCCCATTTAATAACAATAACACAAGAGCACCAGCAGATATAAGTAGAGTTGGAGAATTTCAGTAATTCTTCTATTACCTGGGAACAGGTCTGTGCATCTCATAAAAATCTCCCAGTAGATTAAACCTAGTGCATACATATCTACTTGCTTCAGAGCAGACTCACAATCCCTCAGGTTCACTGCTCCTTCCAGCACTTCAGGGGCCATATAGCGGATTGTTCCAACCTGCAGAAACATGTTGTGACATTCTTATAGTAGCACAGTATGTATGAAATCCTCTTTAAGCACCTACCTTTTAAAGTAATTCAACAACAAAAAAAAGGTTTTCAGTTATGTTCACTTTCATTCTGAAGATGGCATTAGAACAAACATAAATGCATTTCAAGGCCATCTGCCCACCCCCACCATTTCTATTAACTGCATTTAAAGTAACATTCATGCCCCTTTTATTGTGTCCTCATTCTGAATAGACATCTTTAGCTGCATGCTCTGATACTCAAACAGAATTTTGATGGAACAACCAAGATCAGAAAGAAACAGAGGAATGCTTCATTTAAAAGTCCAGTATTTCCTTGACCTGAGAACTGATAGCAAAGCCCCTCTCATTTGCAGCAGGTGCAGGGCAACAGCTGCACGCAGGGTAAACATCCTTAAAAGAATGTTATTCATTCATTTGTTCTTATACTGGATGACAGGATTAGGTAAGTTATCCCCACCACCCCCACTTAGCAATATGAAACACCAGTAGCTGTTTCTCACCTTAAAAAGAAAAGGGTAATTGCCTCTTACAACATTTTGTATTATGTCTCTACTATTTGGAAAAGATAAATTGGAAAATGGCTTTCTGGGGGGAATTACTATCCTTTAGATCCGTAATTTTCAACCTTTTTACAGTTGGGGACCAGCAAAAATAAAAAAGTTATTTCAGGGACCGCTGGGGCAGAAATAAAAAGCATTATATACATAATATAGTATTTTGGGCATGAATTTTTAAATATAGTACCAATTTTTTTCCTAAAATAACCAGAAACTGCATTAAATTGCTAATAAAACAATAAAATATTGAAATTAAATGTAATTGAATACAACTGAAATTTTTAGAGAGCAATATGTAATTCAAATAAGGCTACTGAAAAAATCTGCTGTTGCTTCTTTTCAAGAATACTTGATCAAAAATTTACAATAGCAAAATATAAAATCAATATAAATGCAATACTATACTCATAGCAAATACAAATTCAAATGCGATATCAACAGCAGAGCAATATAAAATCAAACAAAGTTATTTAATACAATACAATTCATAATGTTAAATACTGAAATACAACAACCCCCGCCACTCAAACCTCCATACACACCAGCACAGACTGGCTGAGAAAATACTCTCAGCACAATCCCACCTCAAGTGTTTCCTTTCCCAGCAGAGAAAGGAAGATGCCGGGTCTCAAGTCCCCGCCCAGAGGGTGACCTGGCATGGCGTGGCTCCCATCGAGCTGCCTTTGCCCTCCCTGGGGAGGACTCTGCAGCGGGAGCACAGCGAGCCCCACACTGGTCCTGGTAAGTGAGAGGTCCCCATCATGCATGCACACGACAGCGGCTCTTTCATGGACTGGCAGAAATGCCAGCAGACTGGTGGCAGTCTGCAGACCAGCGGTTAAAAACCACTGCTTTCGATTACCTTTAAGCTGAAACCAACATTCTCTGGAAATACATTGAGGCCACTTTGCATTTTTCTATACCTTGAGTTAAAAAGTAGAAATATATTATTTCTCAATGTTCCCTTTTCAGATTCAGACACAAATTCACTACCCGAAGAAGGGGTAGAAAAACCTTCATCTCTCAGGTTAAAGAGACAGTCATTGCTGGAGGTGCTGGAAGGTCTGTCAACTTATGCAAGCAAGTTAATGAACAACGGAATCTTGTCACTTCTAGGGCACTGCTACTTCTTTGGCATCCCGTCAGGATCTGACAACCATATGAAGAGTGAACTAACAGACTACATCAATCTAAACTGATAAGCATCTTTCTTATCTCTAAACTCTTCTGTGCCAGTCACTAGAGAGGAAGGGTTGTTGTTGCTAACGTGGTTACTTTCAGGTGTGTTGAGAGGAACTCATTTGGAAACACACAAATCACTTTGGGGCACCTGCAGGACTGTCAGCAGCATCTTCTTAAGAATACTTGCATGCACGAAACTGGCTTTGATGCTGGAAAGGGGAAGGGGAGCTGCTGTCCTTCCAGCCCCTGCATCTATTAGTAATCAACATACCTTCAACTTGGTAGAAGGAGAAACACCCCCCCATACAGCCCTATTAAGATTATATACATTTACTATGTCAGGTATGAAGGACTCACACAACGTTCCTCTTCAGAATATTTATAACCAACAAGCAGGAAAGGATTGGGTTATGTCTGAATATTCAGATGCAAAAGCTGCCTCTTGAAGCATGTGCAAGTCCCCCTTATCAAAGTTTAAAATCAATCAATTCTCTATTCACCAAGTGGGTATATAGCTGTTACATCCAGTCTGTTCAGTTTTCTGAAAATAGTTCTAAAATCCATTTGTCTCCTATAGTGCATGATTAAACGATGTCCAACCTTTGCACCCCCTTTTCAGACTCACCTCACTAATTGCAGCATTGTCCTCCTCACCTGGGCGCACCAGTCTATTTCCTGTCAGCTTCATGGAGAGGCCAAAATCACTTATGACGCATGTTCCATCATTCTTCACCAATACATTACGGCTGTTCAAATCACGGTGGGAGATGGCAGGCTTGTAGTGATCTGTAGGAATTTAGGAACTTACTTTTTTGGAATTCCTAGGGTTTTCCTCCATATAACTCAGAATACAGGTCCTCCAAGAAAGCCACAATTTTCCTTGCATACAGTGAGACTCTATGGGAGTGTTTGCCTACTGTACTGTATAAGTGATCTTTAATATTTAAAAGGTGATAAAATCACCCTCCTTTGTCCCATACAGAAAAGGCCTACCTCAGAAAGCCATAGTAGTATGACTTCTACCACATCATCATTGGCACTTAAATTTTCACCATTTTAAAGAAGTAAATTTTCCTCCTGTGCAAGAGAGGCAAAGTACCCTAGGTGCTTCTGTTCAGGCAATTTAGAAAGATCAACATTGTGTACTGTGCACATATACAGGGAACTGTCCACCCAAAAAAAGAGGAGCAGGATTATGTTTCAAAGATGTCTGTATGCTCTGGAAGAAGGGTTAGAATAAGTTAACATCTTCAGCTTGTGGAGCTGTTATTAATTTCACCTCTTCAGCCAAAGAGTCAAGTTAACTGTAGGAGCTTAGCTGCAGGAACGGCTGAGCTGAGCTTCTGAAGGCAATCTGGTATGTTTCTATAATGTGGAATGGATGACATTCTTTTCCATTTATAAATCATTAAGTTGTAGATTCACTTTCTGTGGTTTTGCTTTCTGTTCTATAATTTCATACTGCTATGTTTTTATTCCCTATGTAAGTTCTATGCATTGATGAAAATTGCTTTGGAAAGGTAATGACTGTTTCAAAAATGAATCAATATGGCAAATTTTACTATTTTACATTCCAGATCTAAGAATTACATAATCAGAATTATTTCAAAATACAATGAACTGAGTGAGCATTACAATGAAGAAATATCTATATTGGTACTGCAGTAAGTAACACAAGTATCTTGCTTTTTTGTTTTACAAAGGAAAGCATGGGCCTAAGTCATCTATACAAAAGTTGCACAGTGAAAATATGGCAAAAAGAGTGGTCCCTATTATTTTTCCTGTAGTGCTAAAAGTTAATTAGCTCCTTCATGTGCCTTGATCCAGGAAATGTGGTTATCTGGCACAGAAACATTGTTTAACACAGGGAAGTGCCTCATCCTGCCTAATCTTGGAAGCTAAGCAAGGTTAAGTCTGATTGAAATCTGGATGGATGACTTAAAAACGTTGTGAACCATCCTGAGAGCTTTGGCTACAGGCAGTATACAGTAAACTGCCTGTAAGATGATGATGATGATAGCAGCTCCAAGTTTCTCTAAAAGTATTCTATACACGTACAGAAAACACCCAAGACATCTTAAAATGCATACATTCTGTTTGTCACCACCTTCTCTGTGCATTTTTCTTAGGCTTCATACTTGTTTTTCATTAATATGTGAAATACTTTGCTTATATACATTCGTTACATGATGTATCTAAGACAATGTATAGGAAATTAAGACACCTCTCAGCATTTACTAGTTCCAAATGCAAAGGCCAATAACATATTATTATTATTATTATTATTATTATTACTATTACTATTACTATTATTATTATTATTATTATATTTAAAACTTTTGCATGCCATTCCTTATGCATGGCATCTCAGGACGGCTTACAATACTCAAAATCAGAATATAATAAAACCATCACATCTATAAATAAATAACCCAGTAACAACAAAAAATTAAATCAAAATCAAAGTGATTGTCAAAACGTTAAAATACTATTTTTTAAAATGAAAATTAAATAAAAAGGTTTTGACCTGGTGCTGAAAAGAATATAAAAGTGTACATTGACAGAACAGTTTATTTCTGGTATAGAAATGTTTGCCCCAATTAAACACACACACAAATCTCTACAAGTCTAAAAATTCTACCACATGACACACAATCCACAATTATCATCTTGAAAACCTGTCTCCTTCTGGCCTTACCTCCTCGAGGTAATTCTGTGTGAAGATATGCCAGGCCTCTAGTTACAGAGTGTGCCAAATGACAGGAGCTCACCCAGTCACTTGCATGAAGGCTCAAATATCTGCTCAATGAACCCTTGAAAGAGAAAAAGGACAGTACACTTCATTAGGTTTATTAGCTAAGTTAGTCCCTTATGAAAGCTTTTAGCTAGCTTATATTTCCAGTATGCCATTTCAGTATTTGTAAACATTGTGGGGCTGCAGTTACTAAGAAGAGAACAAGGCTAATGCATTTGTGGTTACTGTTGATGCTGTCTAAGCATAGCACAAAGAACCCCCCAATATACCTTCGCCTTTCCAGATGCATTTCATGACAGTAAAGGAAATACATATTTCCATGGGGCGAATAATTAAAATCAGGAGACATCAGCTGCAAGCAGATGAGAAGACTCTGTGCCTGTATTGTTTTGCATGCCACTCATGGGACATGCAATGAAGTTTTGCACCAGACCTCTGTGCAAAAGTTCAACCATCAAGCTATTTCATTGTGCAAAAGCACCTATCAGGTTTGCATTATAAAAAAACTATCCTAAACTAGGAACATCCCCTGAAGCATTGTTAAATCAGTTATTACAAAATAAAAGAATATGGCACAACTGCGACTCTGTCTAAAGAAGGCTCCTCACCAAAACTCAGGAACAGGTATGGTGGACATTAGCCAGGAAGCGACTCAGGGGCCAATGGGAATGCTGAAGAAATGGACAGGTCCAGAGCTGAGTACTTCCCTGGTCTGATGAGGCCCAAACTGATTTTTTTTGGCTTTGTTCCAAAATATTATGTATGGCGCAAACCCTGAAAACACTAACTCCTTAGTGATGTTTGGTGATGGCAACATCATGTTTTGAGTATGCTTTTCCCTGGCATGAACTGGGACACTAGACAGGACTGGGGCCAAATAAAGGGTAATTCTAGAGGAAAACCTATTTCAGTCTGCAAAGGATGTGGGACTGCGGCAGAGGTTGACCTTCCAGCAAGACAAAGACATTGAATACACAGCTGAAGTGGACTGGCTTAAAATCAAAACCCAGAAAGTTTTAGAATGACTTAATCAGACGTTAATCCAAATGAAAATTTGTGATAGGATTTAAAAATGCTGTCCCCCAGTGGTCCCTATCCAACCTGACAGGCTGGAGCAGTTTTGTGAGAAGGAATGGGCAAACACTGCAGGATCCAGATGTGAAAACCTGATAAAGACTTACCTAAGAAGATTTGCATCTGTAATTGCTGCCAAAGGTACTTCTGTCAAGCATTCTGTCAACTGGGTAAATACTTAAGAAACTGAGAAGTGCTAGTGTGTTTTTCTTTACCTTTGTGCCACCAAAAAAACTTTACACCTTCACATTTTGCAACATCATGTGGTAAAATGTCAATTCAATCCTTTTTCTTGTTGTAACACAATAAAATCAAAGAGGGCTTAATACTACTTCAAGGCACTGTATATAACCCAACTTCTGGCTTTAACCTGAGGTCTTGCTCTAAAAAGGAATTAAACACTACAAAAGCAGCATGCTGGGGGTTTTGAAAATGTAAAGTCCTACAGAATACTTTAAATCAACTATAACAAAAGTCAATTATTTTTATTTCCCCATAGGTATCTGAATAATAATAGTTTTTAAATTGTAACTTACATTGGGATAATATTCCATCACTAATAAATATTCCATCCGTCCATCTGTGGTGAATCTCTCATCTCCCACAATAAAGCGGGCAATGTTGTCATGTTCCATCAGTGGGATTCTGTAGATGTTTCTCTCATTGATAAAGTTTTGACGATTAGTGAAAGAAAATACTTTTACAGCCACTGGACGTTCATCTAAGGAACCTTTGTATACTGCTCCATATCGTCCTCGACCAATCAGCTGTGAAAATATATTTCAAGTAGCCATTAGCTGAAAATTCACATGAGGTACACTTACTGCATTAATAAGTTGTTTTCAGTGAGCCTAACCATGCTGTTTCTATGTCAAATTACGTCCTTTTCATTTGCAGTGTTGCATTTCAGTCCCACAAGTACTGCCAGGATCCAGTGGCAAGTGCTTCTATGCATGCTCAGGAAAGGGTGCCATTTTTGCTTTCTTGGCTGAACTGAAAGCTGCTCCTGAGGGGCCACCAACCCACAGGAAGAGTTTGTGAGTATAGTAAGAGGGATGGCTCTAGCTTGACATGACATGGAGATGTATTTGAAACTGCTTTCAGTTAATTTTTGATTAGGATTTACCCAGTTTGCACCTTTCAGTCCAAACACAAACCCGAGCGCAATTTGTGGTTGAAGTTCAGAAAAATGTGTGCTTTTGGGAAAAAAATGCCCAAAAATGCTTTATACAGCATTTGAGAAAAATGTATGAGAAAAATTCATATACTGCATTTGAGTATACATATACGGCATTTGAGAAAATGCATATACTGCATTTGAGAAAATACATATACTGCAAAATTAATGGATACATTTGAAGATATGCAGCAATCTTGCATGACAAGAAGAATCCAAAGATCAAAATCTGATACAGAAACAAGAGCTTCCAGATAGAATTGGAGAACTTCAATGAGCTTGAGTTTTGCTTGTACACATATCCCTACATCAGCCATGTGTTTGAATCCCGTGACTGGGATTCTCTTTCTCCCCCTCTTAAACAGCAAGCAAGCTCAGGGCCAATGATTAAGACAACTGTATAATAGTTGGTTTTTTAATTATTTTCCCTACACACCCTTCGTGTTGACAATAGCCCAGGGCTATGAGGGAAAACAGCAGTTTCAGAGGGACAACTTTCCTTGGGAAAATGGTGTAAGGAAAAGGGCTAACTCCCTGCACAATAATTCCAATCTGGGCCAGAGGGCCTTGCAGCTAATTATTCCAAAGGGGGAAAAAAGGAGATGTTGCTAGTGTCAGGTCTCCTTTGACTCTACAAGGCACTGCTTTGTTAAACTAAAATAAACATGTTGCTCCATGAATGAGTTCAACAGAGGCTCACTATAAACTTGTGAATCATGCTTTATTTTTTCTAAATGAGAGCTGTTAATGAACCCAAGTGGAATCTTTCCTTCTTCACTGACAAGTAGCATCTCCATTTATCTAAGCCTAACAGCCTGCTTGATAATGTGGGGACATCTTTAAATACTCACTTGTACTGAGTAATGTGAACAACTGATGCTAACTGACCAGATTATTTATAAATTATGTGAAGCACAAAGACAGCTCTAGAAACTCCAAATTGCAAGTTTACCTCCAAGAGCTTCAGATTATCCAGATCTAATGAGGGTTCTGATGCTGCTGCTTCCATCATGTTCATGCTATGCAGACCTTGTTTACGGTCCCCTGTGAAAGAAGATTCAGATAAAAGTCAAGCCCTGAGTTGCATTACACATTAGAATTGTCTGTTGGTGGTCACATTCATACACGATAAGCTAGGAAACCTGGCTTAATAAGCCACAATGTGAAAGAGCTGTAGGCCAGCACATGAAATCTATTTGCTCCTGCCTTGTTCCTCCCATGATGCAAGTGGGAAAAACCAAGTTTTTATACCAGGGTTTGTTGTTGCATTACAAATACTTGCCTGTTTGGGTGCACAAGCATAATTCTGGATTTGGACAAAACGTGCTTATTTACTCAGTCATGCAGAGAGGGAAGCAAAGCTGCAGTGAATGGGCTATGGGTACCAGCTTATGGCATATTCACACTATGGTCTACTACATCTGTATTCCTTGCTTATGATTATGTATGAATGCTCCCAAATGGTGCTACATATTTTGGCAATGGATAAACCTATCCAGGAGATAACTTTCAGCATCCTTATGAACCATGGGCTATGTGGCTGAGTTTGATGGGAGCTGTAGTCTAACAATGGAAATCCATGGAGTAGAGAAAATAGCATCTTAAAAGAAAACAACAAGAGGATACTAATACAAGGATAATGTTGTACACTTTATCTTTCCTAAGTAATGATGTTCAAGGCATTAGCTGCAATGTCGAAAGTAGCTTGTTAAATCTCTTTATCACATGGAGAGTTTCCTTGCTTTCACCTGTTACCCCTGGCAAGATCTGGTATTGGTATAGTACCTCTCTAAAGTGGATGGGCAGAAAATAGATTTCTACATGTTTTAGTTTTCACTTCTCAGAATTCCTGACCATTAGCCAGGCTGGAAAAAGGGCTTTCTAGGAGCTCAACACCAAAACATCTGTAGATCTACCTTCTGCTCTTCCTTATTCAGAGGGAGGATGTGGTAGGCTGTTCTAGACACTGACATTGGAAATGTAGCCTTTACAGGGAAAAAGATAATTGCATCAAATGAAACTAGCAGCAAATTACTGTCTGCATTCTGATTTCTTGAGGAAATTTTTGAAGAACAAGTTTCAAATAAAAAACCTGTATTGCCAAAACAATAAGGAACTGAATCAAGGGGGGAAAGAAGTGACATGAGCATTATCACAATAACAAACATGGAAAACAACAAGGCTTTCATCACCTGCAAACATTCTGTATCCAAAGAAAAGAGCAACCACCAAAACAGCCAGTACAGACACTGAGGCCAGAGCAATGACAATGGTTTCATCTCGGTGAAGTGAATGAGGTGAACCTGAAAGAAAGAGAACTGTGAGGATCTCTTCATACATCACAAGTTTCTCAGAAGTGATCAAAATATTCCTTTGAAAATGAACACACTGCTCTAGAAACTCACACCCACCAATACTATTTTTAATATTAATTTTCAACTGCCCTTCTTCATGATGTATTTCTACCCAAGTGAACAAGGGAGTTTTCTTTCATCTGAAGGGTTTGAATGATGGAGATATCTGACAACTATCTGACTGAACTTTATCTAGAAGAGGAGATGGTTGATTGGGCTTTTTCTTGTTTTGGGTTCTCTCTCCTTAGGTTCCTTTCCTTTAAGTGAATCAAAGATTCACGGAACATGGTAAAATAAGAAAGGACACAATATATGAGGACAATTAGGGATGGGCTAGCATGTTTTGGCCCTGACTCTACCCCCAGTTTCAGCCATCAGCAATTCAGAAAACCACATGGATAGGACTAATTTGTGGAAGCAACCTTTATTTACACGCTGCACACTACACAATTCCTCATTCACAAGGAAATACGTATTTGCCTTAGTATTGTGAATTAGAAAGTTAAGGGGTGGACAACATCAGCTGTTCTGGCAGCCAAGTCAATATGAGCCAGAGTCTTGCTGTGGCAGGAAAGAAAGGCTTAAATTTGTTCTTGGTGTACCTCCATGTTCATTACCAAGGCTTATTAAGGACAAATGTAGTTTGAAAGCAAGCTACAGTTGTACTTAGCAAGCTTCAATAGTGGCTTAGTGCTGACTTCTTAAGGCAAGCCACCATTTTTTGCTCCCACTCCAATTTGGGGGTGGGGGGAGGCACAGCTATACTGAGGTATGGAGGTGGTTGCATGTGACTCATGGGTCTTGTGTTGCTCATCCTTGGCCTAGGCCAGGGGTCGGCGACCCACAGCTCCGGAGCCACATGTGGCTCTTGAACCCCTCTGCTGCAGCTCTGTTGCTCAAAACAGGCGCTGGCACAGCTGCTCATCTGCTCTGCTCCACTCAGGCGCTAGCTAGTTAAGTAAATCAGCTAGCTAAGTAAATCGCTACATTCCTTTGCTAAACAAGCTTCCTGTAGGCTCTCATGTTACACAAAACACTGCTGAAAAGATTCTCTTTGTCCCAATGTAATCTCCTTCATCTGAATGTTAAAAGCTGTGCTTGGGACCTATCACAATTCACATCACTTGACTGTTTATCTGCTAATCAGTCACTAAACACACCTATATCTGCAACTGGCACTGATTTACTGAGTTTTCCCTCGCTCCAACCATGGATAAATCCAAAGAAAAGTTGCTGAAGAAAACCGAACGTTTAATGGTACATGGGTAGATTCATTTGTTTTTACTGCTGACGAACTTATGGGGTTTGCTGTTTAATCTGGTGCCGATTTACTGAGCTTTCCCCCCCTCCAACCATGGATAAATCCAAAGAAAAGTTGCTGAAGAAAACCGAACGTTTAATGGTACATGGGTAGATTCATTTGTTTTTACTGCTGACGAACTTATGGGGTTTGCTGTTTAATCTGGTGCCGATTTACTGAGCTTTCCCCCCCTCCAACCATGGATAAATCCAAAGAAAGGTTTCTGAAGAAAACCGAACGTTTAATGGTATGTGGGTAGATTCATTTGCTTTTACTGCTGACGAACTTATGGGGTTTGCTGTTTAATCTGGTGCCGATTTACTGAGTCCCACCCCCCCTCCAACCATGGATAAATCCGAAGAAAAGTTTCTGAAGAAAACCGAACGTTTAATGTACATGGGCAGATTCATTTGCTTTTACTGCTGATGAACTTATGGGGTTTGCATGCAGTCCTTTAGCACTGACTTTGACTCTGCAGGAAGTTGTTCTACTCAAATATATGAAAGGAATCCTACTAGTTTATAATGTAAGATTAAAAATAACAGTTTTTAGTGACTGAACAAGAGCTGCAGCTAAATCATAATGAAGATATAGATCTACTTCTTTGTTTTAAGAAGATTCTTATAAAAATTCCAGCAACATTATTACATTGGGAGAGGGATGTTTGTTCAATATTTCACCACGTGATAAGAGGATGAGGGCATACAGAAGCAGATTGCATGTTTGGTTTGCTGCAGGTGGCATGTTTGGTTTGCTGCTAGTGGATAATATAAGTTTGGCTTTTTATTTCATAAATACGAGGACTCAGATAGAGATTGAGTATTTTATTTGAAAGTAACTTTCAACCCAGCGTCTTTTTTTTCGGAGTTCAAACTGTTTTTGTTGCATGCAGAAATAAAAATTTGTTTTCTCTGTAGTTCATTGATTTCATAAATGCAACACACTATAGTTTTATTATACATAGCATAAAGGTAAAAAACTATATATGCAGAGTTATCTTCATTTTAGATGTCAAAAGGGTTTTGCGGCTCCTGGTGTTTTCTTTTCTGTGGGAAATGGGTCCAAATGGCTCTTTGAGTGTTAAAGGTTGCCGACCCCTGGCCTAGGCAGTCTGCATCTTCCACATGCAGACTCCATACGATATACTTCAACATCCCCCAGCACGGAAAGCATGTGACAACAGGTAGATGTACTGATAGAGAATGAACCTCTCTGATGCTCTTCAGGTTTCCAAAAACTAAGAGCTATTGCCACGTCAAACACCTTGCTCTATAAATTACATGCAGAACACGCACTGTCTGTTTCTCAACGTATTCCTCTTCAAAGTAGGAATTTTTGACTCCTTGGAACCAGGAGACTCTTCTGACTAGAGTAAGATTCATTTGCTACTTCTGTCCTCAAAATGGCTTTGCCAGCCTCCAACTCCCTTATCAATCTTTTCCTTCTCCAAATAGTCACTAGCAACTGCTAATATATTTCAGCAACTTTTTATCCCTAACAAATTATTTTTATTCAGCAGTAACTACAATTTTAGGTTCATAAGGATATAGTTCTCCTACTGAGTTTTCTGAATCCTGCACTTAAAGATAGGTGACAACAATGACTGTTAATTTTCCTGGTTTCACCTCTTGGTCACAGGGTGGATGGTAATGTAAAATTGAGGTTAAATCAAGACCACAGTACCCCGTAGCAGGATGACCTTCATCAAAAATGACCCCATTGCTCAAAGCTTCTCTGTATAAAAATGCTCCTAGCTGCAATGTTGGTTTAAATTACATTTAGATTGGACTTACTAAAATCATTAGTGTCTTCATCATTCTTGAATTTGTTAGAACCAAAGGATTTCAAAGATGAAGAAAAATACAATATTACTGGTCTGTAATGGTGCTTTGTAATATATTCCAGTTATGATTTGAAGAATAAAAAATTCAGCTTAAATTTCGTCCTAATCCTGCCATTGTTTAAAATTCTATAGCAATAAGCTGATTTTCTGGTTACAGAATAAATTTAACTGAGCTTTCCACTGCAATGACTTCAATTTTGATCTCGAACTAATCAACTTATTGAGAAAGTTGACTGCTAGAAGCTCTGAGTTCAGCAGGTTTAATTCTAATTGATTTTGTGCTGGAAGTGCAATATATTTGATAGCTATGTTAAGAGAAGCTCAACAAGGAATAAGTATTCGGGCTAAAGTCACAAATTCAAATAATTTTGTTTTCCTTTCAGTCTTTTTCCTAATCTTCATTACTGAGATATACTATATTTGGATCAAAGGGTTATTTTAACTGTAATTAAAATGCAGCAGTTTCATTTTTATTTGCAGATGTGCGAGACTGCAATTCTAGTATTAGCTTAGCCATACATATGTATGAAATATAATATTCAACAGAAGGCAAGGGGCATTTTTACCCATATATGAAGAATTTTGTATTCTTCTACAGCTGTTGTATCAGTTCTGCTTAACACAAATCGTTTTAGGCAGTTTGCTCTTTGGCAAGTAGGATTCAACGCTCCATTATAGCAACCATGACAAGGGACTGTATCAAATGTTCTTTACTATTTGAACTATGGCCAAGGCAGATTACTTACTAGGCCTTGAACTTGTTATTTTTATGGCCTTTTAGGAGTGAGCAGCTTGTCACCTTCCAGATGCTCTGGCCTACAACTCTCATGATCATTCACTGCTGGCTATGCTGGCAAAAGCTGATGGGACTTATAGGTCCAAGCATCTGAAGGGCCACATTTTGTGCACCCCTTCCTTCATCACTGTGCTGCATACCTTTTCCCACTTATTTCCCTGCTTCATAGTCTTGATCATGGTAGCAATCTTTTTTTAAGTTCTAGGAATTTCTAGGAAGTTTTAGTCTTACAGATAAGCTCTTTTAGTGAGTATTCTCCCTGACCACACATGCTCTGAGATCTTTGAAATTTGGCTGTAAAGCATCTTGGCAGATATGTTGCTATGATGTGTGTTCACACATGCATGTGCACATGTACACATCTAAAAGGAGGCTATTTTATTAAACACAGAGTAGAAAATATACACAATAATTACCTAGGGAATTAGCAGGTTGGTATTCCTGCGGGAACTGATCTTTTTATATACCACAACTGAAGCACCTAATCTTAAGTCAGAAACCAAAATGAATAGAGAAGATAACATATACAAGTTTTTAAACATAAAAAATTATTTCCCCAACTATTCTCTATTTTTAATGTAGAGAAATTAGCTCAACGGTCTGCTTGGAGTACAAACTCAGGGTTGCTGTACATTTCTGGCTGAGAACGTGCACATGTGCAATATCAGAATTTTACAGGAAGCTGTAGAGGCCAAGGCTAAACAAATTGGGATCCTTAGTCTTTTTGTGAGAAAGATAAAGAAAAAGGGATCAAAGGTAAAGGGGACTGGCAGAATGGGGAAGGGTAAAAGAGCTTACAGAGATTCTCTAGTGAAGTGTGAGCTGTAACTCCTAGACCTTGCACAAAGTTGTTGTTGTTGTTGTTGCTGCTGCTGCTAGTCACGAAGTTGCGTCTAACCCACTGCGACCCCATGGACAACATTCCTCCAGGCCTTCCTGTCCTCCACCATCCCCTGGAGTCCACCCAAGCCCACACCCACCACCCCAGTGACTCCATCTAGCCACCTCAT